GGGTGCGGCTTCTGAGCTCCTGGCTGCCTTTAAGTTGTCAGCTCCCTCTCCCTCCTCTTCCTGCCAGGCCTGCCCATCTGATAGGGCCATGCTGTTGATATATCTCACCTGGAGAAACAGGCCAAGGGCTGATCTGACTAGACCAGGCCTCAGCCAGCCATGGTGAGTGGTATGCTAGCCAGCCCATGCCCACTGGTGCCGTTGAGGTCTGACTGGCGCATGCATTTGCACATGCCATGGTGTCTGCTCGTCTGTGGCCCAGCCGAGCAGAGCATTGCGACAGAAGCCAGCTGGCCCCCTGAGACTTACATAATCGCTCTGTGGCCCTTGGCCAGCCCCAGACTCAGTGATTAGATCATTATCACGGTTAGACCTGACACAAGCTTGTCCGTGGAGGGCCGAAACCAACTCCCCAGTTTTAGGGGAACATGTAAAATGCACAGGGGCATACCTATCCATGGGATCTTCCGAAAGTTCCTGGGAAGTGCATATTATAAAAAAATTATGCTTGGACTTCCACATTTTTTTTTGGAGAGGTTTTTGCTGTAGGGCGTGTGCGCTCACCAGACAGACAGAGAAAGACAGAGAGACAGAAATCACCCCCCCGGGGGGGTTTCTCCTCCAGTCTCCTCTCGGGATCTTGGGCACGCATGCACACACGCCCAGCATGAGTTTAAGCCACCGGGTCCGGGACTCAAACCGCGGTCGACCACGTGGGAGTCCAGCGACATAGCCATTACGCTAGCTGCTGGTCCCTCACATTTTTTTTTTACTATAAAATGAACTCATTCTTTAATTCCTTTTTTTGTGTGTGTGAGAGTTTAAAAGCCCCTCCTGTATGAGTATATGTAGTCAGGACACCCCTGCTAATAATCGCTACCTGAAGTCTCACCCATCCTGAGGCAGTGTGTCCAAGGGCGGGTACAGTCTCACCCTGTGGATATACACCTTGTCTTTGACCCAGGTGAGCAGAACCTGCCCGGCTGCCAGTCACGGGCCAAGACATGTGCACAGAGCCTGTCCTTGCCTTCCAAGTTTCCCCAGTTGTCTTCCTAAGCAAGGCCTGAAAGGCTTAGGAACCAGTGGCCTACTTACAGGCCGTGGAAATAGCCACAGAGAGCTCCTCGGCCGAGCACTGGTGTTCCATCAGGGGCCCTCCTACTGTCCCTCCATTGAGAATTCAGTGTCTGGTGGGACAAGAGAGAAACTGAAACATAACTGCACTCATGATAAGGCAACTGAGGCCAGTTATTTAAATAACTGCACTTTCTGGACAAGGCTGCAAAGGAATAGGCGTGTCACCATATCCTGTTGTTAAAACTGAACTTCATGGGCTAATCCATTACAGTGGGCATCTTGGCTACAAATAGAACAACCGTATGACCCAGCAATTCTACTCCTGGGTATCTTCTCAAAGGACAGGAGAATGCTCAGTCGGAAAAGCGCCTGCACATCAATGCTTATTGTGGCATTATTCACGATTGCTAAGATGTGGAACCAACCTAAATGTCCACCAACAGATGAATGGATGGAAAAAGTGTGGCACATATGCTCTATGGAATACTATTCAGCCATAGAAAAACAAGACTCTGGCATTCGATAGACAGTGTTTGAATATGGAAAATTTATTACTGAGTGAAGCAAGCCAAACTATGAAAGAAAGATTTTGTATGTCTCCACTTACTATATACTGACTGTGTACACTCTATGGTAGAGACTGAAAGATTGGAGGACATAAAAGCACTGAAAATAGGAGCCGGCAGGTGGTGTGGTGGTTAAGGGCACTGGACTCCATATGGCCGACTATGGTTCGAGTCTCGGAGCTGGTGGCTTGCTTTCTCACTTTCCCCTTTTTACCTCTCTCTCCTTCTCCCTCTTTAGTCAAATTTAAGTAAATAAATAAATAGTTAAATAAAAACAATTCTAAAAAAAGCACCGAAAATAATTATGGACAGTGTGGAAGGAGGGTGGGAGAGAGGAAGAGTATAGGGAAGGAAATTAGGGGTAAAACAGAGAGGCAAGACGTCTGTGGGACATAGTAATGGTTTATTGGCTATTGATGATTACTTGTATAGTATTCTCAACCGGACTGGTCTAAGGTGTATTTCCTGTTGGGTATATTCTCTTTGCTAGCTCTATTCTCAACCGGACTGGTCTAAGGTGTATTTTCTGATGGGTATATTCTCTTTGCTAGCTAAATGATACAGAGTGATCCAATGTGTAAATAATAAGTATAAAGTGGGTATCTTGGTAATGTGTGCTCTGGTGAAGGGTGAGTTTCACTCTGTAGTAAGCTCCCAACCTAGTTGTAAATTTGGGAGGGGACATGTTAGGCAGATGAACCACCTGATGGGCAGAGTATGGGCCAGCCCCCTGGCCTGAGGGTTAAGGGAGCCAGGTCCCACACGACTGACCAGACAGTTAAATTCCTAGCCCCTAAGGCTTGAAAAACACGCTGGGCAAAAATCTCGACAGGATGGAGAAATGGACAAAGGGCTGCAGTGTGACCACGCCCTATTAGAAGGTGCTTTCTCCCTCTCTGTCTGTGTGTGTGTGTTTTGTCTGTCTCCAGTAAGTGCATACACTCTCTGGCCAAGAAGAAGGTAATCTAACCATGGCATGCAGTGCTCAGAGAAACCCTGGATGCGTCAGATAAAGCTTCTGGAACACGGGCCTTAAAGGCAGGTGGGAGGGCTGAGGGCATCTAGAGATCCACCATTGACCCGCACGACAGGAAGAAGCTGGGCGGACAGAGCAAGCAGGCACATGATGAGAAGGGCCTGTCTGGGCTCTTCTGACTGTCCCCCTAGGGGTGAAACACACTCAGCAGTGCACTAGAGGGACCCCTCCACCCTGAAGCCCCAAGATCCATCAGCCTCCCAAGTCTGATTTGCCCATTTTGTTTCCCTGTACCAGAGGTGCTCTTCGATCCCTGTCGGACATGGTGCCCAGCGTCCACCTGCCAGGCCGTGTGCCAGCTCCAGGACCTGGGGCTGCAGACCCCACAACTGGTGCAATGCAAAGCCTGCGACATGGAATTCTGCTCAGCCTGCAAAGCCAGCTGGCATCCTGGCCAGGGCTGCTCAGAGACTCTGCCAATCACCTTCCTTCCTGGGGAGACCAGGTACCCTCCATAAATGAGCCACTGCAAGAGGCATGGCCGGGGGCTGGGGGAAGCAGGGTGCCTTCCTAGGGCATGGTGGGCAGGAAGGACCCAGCTGCAGGCATTTAGCATCTGCACACTCTCCCTTTGGAGGCTCACTCAGACTCACAGAGCGTTTGTTCGTTGGTTCATTTGTTTGTTGTTGAGAACTGACTCAGCTAGGCTCAGTATCAGGCCCTGGAGACCCAAAGAGGCAGGAGAACCAGGCTTTGTACCACTCACCTGGAGCCACAGATGCGAATTACTGAAAGGGCTTCAGGTCTGGTGGCACCCGAAGTTTTTCCTAGATCCACTGTGTTGAAGATGCCCCACATGGGGATGCAGGCACCATGGGCAATGGCCGTGGGTACCAGAAGGATCACCGAGAACAGGTGCACGGCTACGTGAGGCCTGCTGACTGCATCTCCTTGGATTTTTGAGTGTGTCAGGCAGGACCGGGGACGACTGCTGTGGTTCTGGGTCCTCCCCGTAGTCAGATGGCCAGGCTCCTTCCCCAGGTGATGCCTCGTCCTTCTGTGGACCTTGAAACGCAGTAGGTTGAGCTGTGGGAGACTGGTGACAGTGAGGTCTTTTCGTCCTACATGACGCACAGTCATGTGGTTCCACTCCATTCCCGTGGCACCCGCTTCCTGCTGGAAGACCTGATGGAGGCTGCCCACTACCCTCACAGTGGTGCTGTCACCAGCTGCCTTTTCTTCTCTTTTTCCATCTGTGCATCTCCACCCCTTCTGGGCTTGGCTCCTGTGCAGAGCATCAGCCGTGGATCCTCTCTGAGTTTCATTGTTCCTGAAACTCTCCCCTCTGCTCTCAGGTTGTGTCTGTTCCTGTGCTGGGAGCTCCCCTCTCCACCTTCCTCTTTCCTGGGGGCTCCTTGCTGCCCCGAGAACAGGACTCTCCTCCCTGTGGTCAGACGTCCCAGGGCAGGCTCAGCGACTCCCGCTGTGTAATCCCAGGAGATTCTCACCCTAGGAGCCTGGTGTGCTAGTGCATCTGCTCCATGGCTGAGCCTTCTGTGTGGCCGAGCTCCTAACCTCGGAGCCTGCATTCAACCGGTTTCCACTCCCTCAGGGCCTCAAACATGGACACAGGTGGCTGGACTTACACTTAAGGTCTCAATGCTTCCAAACTTCAAGAGAAGAAGCACATTTTTCATTTGCTCAGATTGAAAATACGGGTCAGACCCAGCCACTGCAGTGCAGGAATAGCGCCACCACTCGGGAGGCGCTGGTTGGGCTCCCAGGCCAATCCGAACACGCCATCGTGTTCACACTGCCTGTAATCTGTATGATGGGAGCTTGGGCAGGAGGCTCGCAACGTGGAGAACTCTGTGCCTCGTCCCTTCATCTCTCTCATAAAGGAAAAGTAATAACTGGGAAAGCTGGACTTCTGGGGTGGGGAAGGAGGCTGCTTCACGAGGCATCCGTCTGTTTAGAAGAGAAATGCAAGCCAACAGGTGGTTGGGGCCCTGGACTCCCACATGGCTGACAGCAGTTCAAGCCCCAGACCTGGCGGCTTGCTTTCTCATTTTCTCTCTTTTTATATCTCTCTCTGGTGAGCCCACATGCCTCTCTCTTTGTATTTCTCTCTGGTGAGCCCCCATGCAAATTAAAAACAATAATAAATAATTAATTAAACAAATAATTCTTTTTAAAAAATAAAGAGAAAAATGCCCATTAAAAGAGGTAGAGAGTCCTCCATTCTTTTCAGCAAGAAGACAGGCAGTGAGAAGGAGATCCTATTTTGGGGATAAGGTGGACGAGCGCCCCAACCCTGATTTTTTTTTCCACCTAAACCCTCCGTAAGATGCAGGACAGAGAATGTGTGGAGCCTGGAGACTTCCTGTCTTTTCAGCTTTTTTTATTCTGGTCTCATTCATTCCACAGGGGCAGTTTAAAACTCACACATCTGATTTAGTGATTTTTTTTTGGGGGGGAGGCATAGAGGTTCTTACCTTGGGGTGTGTGCACTTGTCAGCGAGAGAGAGAAGGAAAGTGGGAAGCCACCCCCATCAGTCCACCTGCCCTGATGTCTCTAAGGGGCAGCGATGATTATGATGGTGGGGTGAGGAAGGGCAGCTTAACCTTAGACCCTTGACTACATGAGAAACAGCTAAGAGTCACTCAGTCCCAGGGAGGGGACGGCCATGCAATCCCTCCTTGTCTCTTCTCCTCCCTGGATCTTGAGCAGGCACACACACACGCACACACATGCGTGCACACACACGCACACCTATCGTGAGTTTCAAACCACCGAGTTTGGGAATCAAACCACAGTCAACCATGTGGGAGTCCAGCGACACACCCGCTACACTGTCTGCTGACCCTGTGATCCTCTACCCAGCCTCCCAGATAGCTCTGCTCACCCGTGCACCTCCAGCCTGGCCCGTCCGGGTCAGCCCCACATTGACCCCATGCCTGCCATGTGGCCCCAGCCTCACACACAGGTGCCCTACTACTTGTGCCACCTTGTCTGCGCATCGTTTGGGGAAATGTTTTTAAAAATTATAAAATTTTAGGGACCAGCAGTTAGCGGAATGGCTATGTCGTTGGACTCCCACATAGTCGACCGCGGTTCGCGTCCCGGACCCAGTGGCTTAAACTCACGCCGGGTGCGTGTGCGTGCGTGCCCAAGATCCCGAGAGGAGAACGGAGGAGAAGGGATTGCGGCGTGGCCATCCCCCCTGGGGGGTGATTTCCTGCTTTCTGTCTCTCTGTCTCTCTCTGTCTGTCTGGCGAGCACACGCCCCCAAAGCAAAAACCTCTCAAGAAAAAAAAAAAAAGAAGAAGAATGTAAAAATATGATAAAATTTTACATAAAAATTGGAATTTCGGGGTTTCCTGGGCAGTCTGAATACCCACCGCGCTGGACCCGTTTCCACCTGCTGACCCCGGCTAGAGCTGAGGAGCAGCCAGCTCTTTGGTAAGGGCATTTGTGGCCCCCAGACTTCATTACTCCCTGTGACGGAGCGACTCTCAGCTGTTTGTCGTGTAGTCAAGGGTCTAAGGTTAGCATGCCCTTCCTCGCCTGACCGCCATCACTCATGCCCTGCTGCCCCTTGAAGACACTAGGGCAGGTAGACTGATGAAACTGTCAGATGCCCGTCTGCTTTTATAAACGTGAATGTGTAATAAGAGTCACTATTGGAAAAATAATACAAGTTGCTTCTGGTAATAATTTCAAATGTAATTGAGAAACCAGGACACATTTGAAAACTATTACCTATACCATGCACGTTTTTATGCATGACCCATGCGCGAAAACTGACGTGTTTTCACTGTGTCTGCCTGAAAAGTCTCCCTGAGAGACGCTTGACACATGCCAGGGATCTTGCCCCTCTTCCGGACCTTGCTTTTGAAAGTAACTGTGAGTCACCAAAGAAAATTTGTTTCATTACTTTACAGTCACACTTGTTTTCACACCAGAACAATTTGTCTAACCCCATCACCCGCCTGGATTGGTAGACATGGTGCTTTCTGATTTCTGGCTCTTTGCCAAATCAGAGTTGTTCAGCGACACACCCGCTCTGCCATCTGCTGACCCTGTGATCTTCTACCCAGCCTCCCAGATAACTCTGATCATTCTGCACAGGCACCTCCAGCCCTGGCCTGTCCAGGCCAGCCTAGGCATTGACCTCAGCCCTCCCATGTGGCCCTAACCTCAGCTGTAGCCTGTAGCCAGGCTACAGCTGAAGTTCACCCAGAGCTGTTCTGTGCCATGTCTGTTGGAACAGATAGGACCTCTGCTCCTTGCAGCAACCCTGGTTCACGCCAGATCATGTTCTGTGTGGCCAGGTCAGTTTGTAGTTCGCTTTGAAATCAGAGAAGGATTTTGAGCTAGAGTCTTGTCCTCCAGAAATGGTATTAATAACAACCAGCATTTACCAAGTGCCCCGTGAGTGTGTACGTGCCTGTGTTCACGCAGGTAACACCTACAAACGCTAATCCTCGTGACACCCTGCAGAGGTCGATGCTCGTGGCTGCATTAGTCTGTTTCTCAGATAAGGGGATAGGACATAAATAGGACAACTACTTGTTGTCTGTCTCAAGACTCTGCTCCTAGCTACAAGGGTGCATTGCTACCCGCCTCCCAGCATTTCTTAGCCTGTCACCTTCCACTAGGGGCCACACAGAACCACGTCCAATTAGAGCACCCACTTCTCGGGGCGATCCCTGTGCAGGTGATCACGGACACACCACGTGGAACTGCGCTCCATTCCCAGTCACTAAGGTGCCCTCACGGGCCGTCGCTAAATGCGCTCGAGATGCTAGAATTTGCCCAGTTTCTGCAGATGAATGTGCATAAGTGCGTTACATTCAGAAAGGCTGCTCATCCCAGAGGGAAGTCATTTTCTCTTAGTGAATGTCAGATGGAAGCAGCGAGCGTAAGCCACGCAGCAACTGCACCCCCTTGTCAGTGGCACTTCTCTGACAGTTGACCATTTATGTGCCCAGATGCTTCCACTAATATTTCTGCTCCTGTTTTTCCAGTTAACTGCACAGCACAGACATCCTTTTGTAGCGGTCATACCTAAAGATCTGTGCCCCTGTTTCATCTGCAGCATTGAATTGTCACTGCCTCTTCTCGGGCACCTCACAGGGGCCGGGTAGTCCTCTGTACTCAGGGTCGTCTCTGACGCTCACATGGCTAAGAGTTAGCCAGGACTCTGCGAGGCATCACACTCGACTGCAAGCTGAACGCCCTTCATGCTAACCACTGCACACCCAGTCAGACTTCTCAGGAAAAGTTTCATGCAGAAAGTCAAGTAGCTCTATCTAAGCACATAGTGCGCTTTTATGTGTGGGTGTTCATGTAACTTTTTTTAAAATAATAACACAATGCATAAAATTTCTTATCAACCCTTTGGAAAGTATATAAATTACATGAATAAGCACACAGTGTTTGATTATAATACGGTTACTCAGATACTTTCATGAAAAACCTTTTACTGTATGTGGGGCCAGCAGGTGGCATGGTGGTTAGGGGTGCTGGACTCCCACATGGCCGATTGCAGTTCGGGTCCCAGACCGGGCAGTTTGTGTGCTCACTTTCCACCTCTTTCTCCCTCTCTCTCTCTCCCTATCCCTCTCTGATCAAATCAAAATAAATACATAAACAATAGATAAAGTTAAAATAACTTGTAAAGAAAAGCCTTTTACAGCATGTTGTGTGTGTTGTTACATGTCTAAATTTAGATATCTGCTGAGGTTGCTCTTTTTCCCCCCTAACTCACACTGGCTGATGATGGTATTTCGTTATCCCCCCACCCCCCACCCCGGAGTTTCCTTCTTTGGTTTTGCTTTATTTCCTTCAGTCCCTGGAGCTGAGCTAATACTGACAGCATGCAGTGCTGCTGGGTGTCTGGAGGGGCCTGTCTGCAGAGCTCTCATGGAGTCTCTCCCACAGCTCTGCTTTCAAGCTGGAAGAGGACGACGCGCCCATCAAGCGCTGCCCCAAGTGCAGAGTCTACATCGAGCGAGACGAGGGCTGTGCACAGATGATGTGCAAGAACTGCAAGCACGCCTTCTGCTGGTACTGCCTGGAGTCCCTGGACGTGAGTGCCTACACGCTGTGCTGCATCTTTAGCTTTGAGGGCCAGATTGGACGTGAGGAAAACGGGCCAGCTATTCCTTCCAAGCGTGGAGGTTATTCCCGTGCAACACAAGTGACGTTACTAAATGTCTTCCCTGTGTTTGTGAGCATATTAACTCACTGGTGCCGTGGTATCAGAAGCAGTAACTCATGGCGTTCTGGGTTGTGAACGCTCTGTGCAGACTTAGGCTTCAGCCTGAGTGTTAAAGGGGTGCTTAGGATCCTAGGGTCTTTGGTTTTGTCTAATGAAGGGGAGGGCCGCCTTAGTCAGCTTAGGCTGTTCTAACAAAAAAAAACGCAGGCTGAACAGCTTTGTCAGCAGACATATATTTCCTGAGGTTCTGGAGGCTAGAAATCCACGACCAGGGTGCCAGCAGATTTGGCTCCTTCCTGGGATTTAGAAGGCCACTGCTGGGCGTGTACTCACATGGCAGAGAGCATGAGCCTGGTCTCTTCCTCTGCTCAGCAGGACCCTGGTCCCATAGGGGGACCCAGCCCTCACGACTCTCATGATTCCTTCTAACCCTAACCTCCCCGAAGGTCTCATCTATAATTCATCCCACCGTGGGTCAGAGCCTCGGCCTGTGAAGGGAGAAGCAGGACAGAAGGGTTCGGCACCCGACAGCACTAACAGGGTAATAGCAGGATCGGTGGCGGTGGAGACGTGGAGACCGTCTTCTGTGGGGCTGTCTCAGCACTGCAGTGATGCACATCACCTACAGGGCAGGGCAATGCACAGGCCCTTTGCCCTCTGGCGGAATCGAAGCTTCGTATGCAACCTTGTCCCTTCTCCCAAGCGAACCGACTCCACGCAGATGCTGAGCCTCTCCCACACACGTGACACCTGCATGTCCGCCCCGTTGAGTTCCGCCCAGCCCTGCTGCACGCCAGCCTCACTTTGGAGCTTCGAGACATGACGCAATTAGCACTTCTTTTCGGCCTCCTAGTCCCCTCTCTCGCCCATGTCAGGGGTGGGAGTCTTGCTGAAAAGACGCTCTGGCTTTAGTTTTAGAAGAGTGTTTGTAAAACTGTCATGAGACGGCAGATCTAACCCTCCATCGAGGCTGCCGTAGCTGGTGATGGTCCAAGGGAGCAAAGTGACGTGTCAGGTCGGGCGCAGGTGTGGGCAGCAGGTGTGGACACACCCCCTTCACCTGGCAGGTAAAGGGTCAGGACAAATCACATTTCCATGCGGGGCTTCCTCTGCCCAGGCTGTCTTTCTCCTCCTGACTGTCTGATGTCAGTATTTCTGGGTCAGTATCCACACCAAGGGCTGCTTCTGAGCTATGACCTTAGCACACGAAGACTGGGGAGGGTCCACTCCGGCCACAAAGGTGAAGGAGAAAAACGGACAAAGTCCTGAGAAGGAAAGGCTGCTAGAATATTAAGAAGACAATAAACGTCTATTTTTTTTTTTGAGACGTTTTTACTATAGGGCGCGTGCGCTCGCCAGACAGACAGAGACAGACAGAGAGACAAAAAGCGAGAAATCACCCCCCAGGGGGGATGGCCACACAGCAATCCCTTCTCCAGTCTCCTCTCGGTATCTTGGGCATGCATGCACACGCGCCCGGCGTGAGTTTAAGCCACTGGGTCCGGTACTCGAACCGCAGTTGACTACATGGGAGTCCAGCGACATAGCCATTATGCTAACTGCTGGCCCCAGCAAATGTCTATTTAAAATGGAATATTGAATGAGATGAAGGGTCTTTCATGTAAAGGCCAACTTTACAAAATTAGATGGATTCTTTTAGGGTCATTCCCTTTGAAAGCCTGCACTTCCTTTATTAGCTATTAAGTACTAAATTTGCAACAGAGTCTGAAACAACTAAGGAGATCTAGGGGAAATATTGCCATTCTTCTGTCAGAGGCTTGCCTCCCTTCCTGTGATTTGGCAAAGTAAGTTTTTAGTCTAAATCACGTGGTTGTTCCTGCCTTGGGGGAGGGAGGATGTCTAGAATGACAGTGGAAACACCCCTGTGTCCTCCAGGGCCATCTAAGTCACCCTCTCACACACCCTGCATTTACTGACTATTCAATGATGACTGTGTCTACCAGCTGGCCTGCAGCTGACACTCTGTAACTCTCCCTAAAGGGAGGAGGAAGTGACACGGCAGTTTTACAGCATGCCGTGGGGTCCCCGGAGGACTTCCTGGGGCAGTGTTAGACGTGGACTGAGGAAGGCCTGAGATCTGGAGCCATGGTGGTTTCTGCTGCTCTCTCCCCAGGCCTGCTGGAATTAAAAGAAATGGGGCAGCCTGCTGCCCCGTCCCCTGAGCAGGGAGCTCTGTCCCTATCCCTGTCTCCCAGTGTCCAGCTCTGCCTGCACCAGGGACAGTGAGGCCACACTGTGCTGTCCCTCCCTCTCAGCCAGGAGTTTGCTGTTTTCCTTTGAGGATGAAGAGCTGCTGAAAACTGAGCCTGCTGCCTGCAGAAGCAAATTCTGCAGGGAGGGAGGCAACTAGGACTACTACGAGGACTACCGGGGGACTGAGAGTGAAGACAGGCATGTGAACGCCTGCTCGGAGCCAGCCAGAGAGGGAGGGCATTTACTTAGCTTTTCTCTCCTCGCAGGAATCCCTCCACCAAGGCAGTGTCTTGCGCTGCGTGCCATGATCGTAGGCTGTTTCCTTCTCACTGCACCCTTTACTCCCTTACTCCCACTCCTCTGCACCTATGAGCCCCGCCTCCCCCTTGAACCCTCACTGGCTCTCAGCCTCAGAGGCGGCCCCAGCATTCGCTGCTTAGGAAGCAAGGGGCATGTGCAATCTCTTCCTTTTTAAGCTGACTCGAAGGATAGGGCAGATAGCTGATACGCACTAAGGTCTTTGTTAGACCAGCCAGGCTGCTCCAAGCCAGAGGCGGGGTGGGAATTTCAGATGGTGCCGTTTTTCTCGAGTGTCTGTGTCTCTGGTCTGCTCTGTCCCTCCTGTCACTGTCCATTGCATGTCTGTCGTCTCTGTTCCCACCAGTTTAATGGACCTTCCCTGGACAGTTATCAGGAAGCTGGCCCATCCCTGACACATGGGAGGGGACAGTCATCAGTCCTCAGAGCCACAGAGAGCCTTGGTGTGTGGGACACTATGCTGGAGTGTTTCCCAGGGCACAAGAAGGTGCGCTTAAATAAGCTCCCCTCCCGTCCAGGACGCCTGTGCCAGCTCCGCCTGGGTGGGTGCCAGGGCCGCACAGACCAGGGCGGCAGGCCAAGTCCTTGTGCTCCAGGAGCTCGTCACGTCCTTGGCGAGAACCCGGAAGGCGGGATGCCGCCGACGCACTGTGGAAGAGGGCTGTGGAGCGAAGTCCTGGCAGCCGAGAATGTGTGGAGGTCACTGGGTCGGAGTGTGTGAGAGCTCGCCGGCTGCCGGGAGCTGGGATGACGGGGCGTGCAGCTGCATGTGTGACGCCCGAGTCTGGCCAGGGATGCAGGAAGACCTGGAGGGCTACGGGGAAGACCTGACGGACATGGCTGTTAGCACAGGGCCTGTGCCTCCCAGGACTAGATCTGGCATGGGTTGGATCAGAACTACCTAGAGAGCTTGAAAACCTGCACTTTTGGGTCCCTGTCTCGGGGAAGCCAGGAATCTCCACTTCCCGTAAGGGGCCCGGGTGATTCAGCCACGTGACTGCTGGTCCTCCACTGCTGGTGAGAGACCCTTAGACTGGCCGTAGCACAAGCTTTGGTTTGTGTTTCAGAAAACAAATTAAAAAGATATTTAATAGTTTTTTGGTCCAAGACACGTGGTGGGCAGCCTGGGAAAATGAGATGCACACGTGACAAATGGACTCATCTTAGTGTGGGTGGCAGTGATTCGGTGCAAAGGAGTGTGTTGAAGAGTTCAAGGTGCAGAGCTCCCGGAGACGGGGGTTAGAGGACCCTCGTGAGGGACAGACGTGGCTGGGGAATCATTCGCTCCTGCCTGTCCTTCATGATGATTCTGGTCAGGAATCGGGGACAGCTAGTGTGGCCCCCAGAGAGGCTCCAGGTCACTCCACCTGGGAGGCTCCGTTGCTCGGGTGACATGGGAGGACTGCCCTCAGGGCCGGCACGCTGGAGGCTGGCGCCGTTCTCAGCAGGACGAACCACCGCAGCCTCTGGGGCGAGCCCTCGCGTTGCCCTCTTGGGCTGCGGGCAGCGACTCCTGTCGCCTTCTCAACATGTCTGCCCGTTGTGTTTTCTCCTTTCTCAAGAAGAGGGTGTCAGGGGTTGGCTTTTGGCCTGGTGGGTACTGTGGGTGGATTCCACATGGCCGACTACGTAGTTCAAGTCCTGGACCCAGAGGCCTGAGAAACATGCTGGGCACATGAACAACGTGCCCAGAATCCCAAGAGCAGGGAAAGATGGAACAGCGATTTCAGCGTGACCATCCTTCATGGGGGTGCCTTCCCCTCTCCTTCTTCTTTCCCTGTGTCTGTCTTTCTCTGTCTCTCTTTCTCTCTAGCAAGCTCACATACCCTATAACGAAAAAGAAAAAGAAAAAAAGAACTGCCTGTCTGCACCTCAGTGAAATGAATAAGCCTCCAGTGCCCCTCCTCGTACCGCTGATCCACCTGTTTCCTTTTCTGGCAATCAATGGGAAATGGCTCCTCCCATTCCTGGAGGGTTTGTAGCAAAGCCATTCCCCTCACACTCAGTTTATGCAGATATGGGTGCAAGCACCCAGCTGGGAACCGAGTTCAAGAGAGGACCCCATGTGATGTTCCAGCTCCAGGATCCCAACAGCCTGATGGGGAATGTCCTTTGGAGGGGAGTGGAGGTCGGGGTGTGTTTGGAGGGGCAGGAGACTCTCCAGAGGGGAGACTCTCCAGAGGGGAGTCTCTGTGAACACCCACCGGGGAGCTGCTGCTCTCTGGGCACCTGAAGAAGCCGTAGCTAGGAGATGCTTCCTGAGCTGGTTCTTGAGTAAAGGGAGAACTATAAGAGTCTGGGCAGAGAGGAAGCATTCTCAAGTGAGAAGCCCAGCAATGACGGGGGGCGGGGCAATCACGTAACCCTGCGAAGGTAAGACGCAGTTCAGGCGGACCCAGAGGGTCCCCACAGTGAGGGTCCGGAGGAGCTCCCTCCCTGGTCCTCTGAGCTGCTCATCAGTAGGTCGCTGTCTCAGCACAAGGTCTCACCTCACCTGCAGGCTCCAGAGATGGCATGATCAGCAGGGAGACCCTTTTGGAACTGGAGACTGAAATCTAATCCAAGGCTCCCTCTAGGGGCAGCTGCAGCATCTGGGCTGGAGTTCCCAAGGAGCGCAGCAGCCAGTGTGTGTAGGCGCAAGCCCTTCCTCCCTGACCCCTCCTCTCGCATCTCCACTCCCTGTGAGCCTAGCCCGA